GGGGGTGGGGGGGGGGGGAGGCGGTCCGGATCATCCCAGAATGGAAGATGTCGCTGTGTAATCAGCCAGCCTCTGGCTCACCACGCTCATCCGGACTTTAGGGGCTCGGTCACTTTATCTCCGACCTCTTGTCACTGCTATGAGCCTCGGACAAACACTGCCATAGTAACCTCTGGCCGTCACACCTCGGTACGATCATAGAGTTAACATCGATGGAAACTTGTAAAGAAATCTGCACTGCCACACGGGCATCACAACTCTGTTCTTGCCCTTGGGTGCGGGGTAGGTGCTGCCTCCCGTCCAGCACAAACAGGATAGTGACGCTGTTCCTCACGGTGGATGTAACCTACCTTGCACCTTCTCTGGTGGTCTTGACTAGAGGTAGGTACTTGAGCTCGTGCAAGTCTCAAGCTGCGCCTGGTGGTGTATTATACCCATTTACCGTTATTAAATGCCTTCTTTATAATACTACCGTGATCTCCAGCTTCATCTTCATCTTGAACCCAATCCAGCCCTTGACACTCCTTCACTCTACTGTCCCCTCATCGCCTTCGAGTATCCCTTGACGTCTAGCAACCTACACACACACACACACACACACACACAGAGGTCACAACTCACAAGATGCCCGAACTACCCGCCAGTCTCAAGCAGTCTGTCGAGAACTCCAAATGTGAATACCGCCGGCTGGGCAAGAGCGGTCTCCGTGTTTCCGTGCCCATCTTTGGCTGCATGAGCTTCGGTGATCGACGGACGCTGGACTGGGCCATCGAGGAAGATGAGGCTCTCCCTTTACTCAAGGCCGCCTATGACCGTGGCCTGAACACATGGGATACGGCTAATGTTTACTCCAACGGCACATCCGAGATCATTGTCGGAAAGGCCCTCAAGAAATACGCAATTCCGCGCGAGAAGGTAGTCATCCTAACCAAGTGTTGGGGTGCTGTCGGAGAGACTCCCGATCTCCGCTCCTTCTTTTTTCCTTCCCAGATTGCCGCCTCCAAGGACTACGTGAACCAGCATGGCCTGTCGCGGGCCGCCATCTTGAACGCCGTCGAGGCCTCTCTCCGGCGCCTGGATACGCCCTACATCGATCTGCTACAGATTCATCGCTTTGATCCCAGCACTCCCATCGAAGAGACCATGAAGGCCTTGCACGACTTGGTGCAGTCCGGCAGGGTGCGCTATATTGGTGCAAGCAGCATGTGGGCTACTCAATTTGCCCAGATGCAGTTCTGCGCCGAGAAGAACGGCTGGACCAAGTTTATCAGCATGCAGAATCAGTACAACTTGCTCTATCGTGAGGAAGAGCGTGAGATGATCCGCTTCTGCAACGACACTGGTGTTGGCTTGATCCCGTGGGCTCCTTTGTGTCGTGGCCACTTGGCCCGCAGACCCGACCAGTTTGGCAGGACCAAGAGGAGTCAAGGAGAGAAGGAGGCCCAGTCTGGGTCACATGGCACTGGTGAGCCCGATCTAACCATTATCAACCGCGTGGTTGAGATTGCGGATAAGCATGAATGGCCGGTAAGTTTCATAGCCCAGAGAAACCCATCGATATCCGTATCTTTTGAAAAGGTTCATCTTGCTAACCGTACCTATAGATCTCCCACGTAGCCTTGGCTTGGATTGCTAAGCGCGTCATCAGTCCAATCATTGGTTTTAGCAGCGTTGAGCGTTTGGAAGAAGCAATTTCCGCTAGAGGCAAGGTTTTAACGGAGGAGGAGGAGAAGTATTTGGAGGAGATGTATAAGCCCAAGGCTATCAACGGACACACTTAGTTTGCCTTCCAACCCTGACTACCTTACTCATGTTGGCATCAGGAAGGGATTGGGTGTAGTAACATCATTAAACAGATTCCTGGATACATTCGGTAGCTCTCGATTTATCTGCCGAGACCACGACATGACCTGATGTCGCCATCTCCTCAGTTCCCCAATTCAGCTCATACTTTATCTTGAAATTTTCAACCTTGGCTCGCTACACTCGAGGTGGCCAAGGTTCGTAAGTCAGTGGGATGGGCCCCAATCCCAGCCCCAGTGACAGTCGGCTTTGTGAACGGATCCTCGGCTGACTTCAGTCTGGTGTGCAATGAAGTCATGCTCTTGGTGACCCTTGGCGGTTTCCAATTCGCGTTTTCGAGCCGGTTCAAAAATGAATGTCGAGTGTGTTCACGTCATCTTGCGCCAGCGTCCCCTTCAGCAGATGTTAAACAGGAACTCGGTACTGGATTACCATGTCATCAGACTGCAATACAATCTGCTCGTTAAGGTTTGACCGATGAAAAGGTGTCGAGGCCTGCTAAGACAAGATCTACGGTCTTGCACGACGCTATATGTGAGGGGTTCGCAAAACGGGGGTAGTATTGCTAGGTCTGTTCACCCACTCCAACATACAGAGAGCTCATTAGGTAAAAAAAAAAAAAAAAAAAAAAAAAAAAAAGAGTCCAGGATCTTGCCGTGGCGCTGGCAGCTTGAGTCAAGCATATGCGATTCCACGTATGGGCTTTGCCGGGACATGGTCTCGATACAATGGCAATATCTTGACCGGGCGTGGAATTCCTTTCAAGATACGCAATAGGCTGCTCAATTGAGGTGTTGATATATGTGGGAAACTTGGTATAGGTTGTGAACACCTTCAGTTTCAGTTACTAACCTCCCAAAAGCGGAGGTAGATGATCCAGGGCAGTTATAATCCCTACCTGAGTTAGCACATTAGCTACATAGCTTCGTGTATGTCTTGTAGGAGGTATGTAAGCCCTTTAGTGTCGTTTATTCAAGTCCGTCTTTCTGCTAGGCTAGCGTCAAGGTACTCAAGACCAGTTCTTACGGAGAAGCACTACACCCACCCATCACAAATGAATTTGGACCAATCGGTGATTTCATCATTAAATCGATTTCATACCTACTGTATGATATAGTACATGTATTTGTCTTTGGTCCTAGCCAAAATGAAAAAAAAATACCCAAAGAAAAGAAACCCCGAAAAAATTGGGGCTTCGGCACGGGTGAGAGCGCAAACGTCCTCTCTACAGCTATGTATAATTAGTCTCCCAAGCGAGCGTCGAGGGCAACCGGGCCTTGAAGAAGAAAAAAAGACATTCATAAGTCCTGATAAAGAAAACAACAAGAAAAGTATGGCTGAAGAAAAGTATGGCTGCTGCTTCCAACAAGTTGAAACAGCACGCGTTACTGCTAGCCGCAGTTTGGCGAGCAGGCACCTAAAGGGCAATAGTCCCTGGCGCAAGTAAAGGCGCAAAGTCCCTTGTAACTTTTATCGAGACCTGGAGCCGGGTAACCCGGGGGCTTCGTTTGAGTCGCTCCATCCAGGCGTACCGAATGAATTACATTTGCAGGGTCCAGGTGGGCACCAGCCTTTGAAGCATAAAAAGTTGCAAAGGCCGGTCAAGTTTGGAGACTCCTCGCTGTCGCGGTTGCAGCTGGTTGGGGTAGAGGGAGGAGGTGCCGTGGTGACGGGTTGAGTCGAGATCGTCCGGGGAATAGACGGAGGTTCCCACATAGCCGGAGGGTATGTAGGCTGAGGATCGTTTGGTGGAGGCGCAGTACCTATCAGAGTAGGAGTCGGCTGGCAGGTGCTCACATGTAGTCCAACAGTTAGAGAAGCTAGGCCTTGCGAATCTAGTGAGCCAAATGGCTTAAAAGGCAGCTGACCGACGAATGCATTGAAGTTGTAGATACCACACGGGCATGTGTTGCTAATATCTCTCGGGGAGGTGCCGCTTAGAACAGACTGTCCATTACGGACGAGCTCGAACCTTTGTTTGCCAACGCCCATCGGTATCTTTTGTGCATACGCACCCGCAGGGGCTCGGTAGGTGACGGCGGAATTACCACCAGACGTCACCTTGATCTGCCCGGCGGTCTTCAAGAGAGAGACGACAAACACAGCATCTTCCATGGTCTCGTAGCCATTGGGCCTTCCCTTGAAATAGTTCCCGCTGCTGTTGTTGGCATCCTGCATGGTAGTATCGGTCGCATCGCAGTTCAAAGACTTGAGGGTCGGTCGATACCAGTAAATGATTTGATCTTGGCTGATGTAGGCATCAGGCTTGCTGGCACCTGCCTTGTACGCCGCAATGAACGGCTTTGCCAGTTCCATCCATCCTTCGTGCGGCATGTCATTGACCCATTTGGAGTTTCCATCATCGGTGTGCTTCGAGTCGAGGGGGCCAATGTAGTGAGACTCCCCATAGTCATTCCAGCTTATGATCTCGACGTAGCGGGGGCCCAGCGTCAGAATCTCATTCCAGCGGCTATACCAGAGAAGATCTCCTGGGAACACCCAGTTCTTGCTGTAGCTAACTTCGGGGCCAAAGTGGGTAGAGAACCATGGGGAGATTGGGGCCATATATGGCTTGGAACCCAGCCATGCTTTGTAGGCGTTGTCCCCATCAGCCACGGAGAAGCTATGTCCAGGCTGGGGGGCTTTGTTGGCCCCGTTGTTTGGCCAAGCCATCCAATTGAATGCCGAGTCGACGACCCCGTTGTTTGGGGTCTGGGAAGGGTTGAAGTTGGGCGCCCGGAAGACGTCGACTCCGGCTGCTGCCCTCATTTGGGCCACATCAAGGCCGTCCCCAATGAAGCTCGAGGCAAAGACCTTTCCGTCGATCTTCAGCTGTGCAGGAAGCGAGGCGTACTGAGCAATCTTGCGCCCTACGTCGGTAGCTTGAGTGCTCGGGTGCCACCAGTTGAAGTCAAACGAGATGAAAACTTTCATGCCGTTGCGAGCCGCCGACTCGTAGGCGAATCCCAGCTGAGTGTCAGTGTAGCCATCAACTCCAATGTTGAGCGCAAATGCATCGATGCCTGTTGTGAGATTCGTTAGCTTTTTGGCACAGCAGCTCCGGGAAATGCGTTGATGCGATGGAGCAATCTTACCTATGGCCTTGGCCTTTTGCATATCATAATCGTAGTCGGCCGAGGATCCGCGGTTGCCCACAATACCAATCTGATGGAACCCTCGTCAGCACGATGACAAGTACATGGAGGAAGAAGAAGATGATGATAGTCTAGCTAGTGAGTCTTACCATGAAATGCGCAAACACCAGCTTGTCGGCGGCTGATTGCCTCGGATCGAGGGAGTTCGTGACAGGTACCGGAACAGCTTGTGCTCCGGGCATATGGCCAGCCCAAAGACAGATGGCAATAATGCCGAGAAGGAGGCTAGAGAGTGTATGGCCCGCCATGGCTATGTCTTTGAAGCCTAGACAATGCGAGCTGCCCCAAGTGTCGGTAAACTTGGGTTTCCTTTGCAGAAGGCTGGAGAATTGAGCCCGTACAGGGAGAAAGAGAGCAAGTGAAGACGAGTCTTGGTGGATCAAACTTGAACTGATGGTAAAACTTGTGGACAAACAAATGACTTTGTCGGTGGCCTTGACGACGGGCCTTGATCATCAAGTTTGCCTCGAGCTTCCGTCCAGCTTCCTAACAAGCATGGGCTGTTCTGCGTTGGTGGTCAGAGAAGGCATGTTGATTGCCAGGGGGAAAAGGGCGATGATATAGCGGCTTCATTCTTCGAGTTGGATCGGATCAGGTCCAAAAGTTTGAGATATCTTGACTCTGCAGTGGCCCAAGTGTTCATTAGTCTCAGTTGGAAAGGCCCGCGCTAACCTTTTCCATGCCGGCAGAGGTGTGAGCCAAGGTCAGGAACAGGGTGACAGCCAGGAAAGGCGTCCGGGTGTTTTGCTCCATACTTGATACACTAGTCGTCACCCGGCACCGATGACGATCGGAATGGGGCTCCCGCCAGTCCCATTGACTGGATGCGGTTAACTTGGGGCGGCCGATTGGCGAATAGCGGCAGGTCGATAGGCCCGTCGATCAGGCCAGACGATCAATCGCGACCGTCGTGAAGGGCAGTTGCCGACGGAGTTCTGCCAGCAATTAGGTAGGTAGGTTGCGGATTCTTGGATGCTGGTTCGATGCGCATCTGTTGATGATGTTTGGCAAGAAGAGGGCGGAGGGTGTCATTGGCCAATCGCACTAAGCTAGGTAGGTAAGTACGTAGTGTACTGTGTAGGTAAGGTACCATTCATGGTGCAGTGGCTGCAGGAACCGGTTCGTTTGGGGTGTAGTGGGGGCGGGCCGTTGCACCTCTGCCGAACGGAACTTAAAAGGTTAGCGCAGTGAAGTGCAACCTACCCTACTGTATGTGGCGATAACTTTATTTTCTTTCCCTACAAAACATCGATGGCTGCTCTCGCTGCTCCCCTCCCCCTCAACCTCCAATTCCCTACTTGTAGCCAGGTATTGTTGTAAGGAGCGGTTCCACGCTAACAAGCGACACTATATGTCGGCAAAAGTGTACATCAGGCAAAAGAAAAGCCCCCAACTCACAACGGCATTCGTCAACAAGATAACCCAAAGAAAGAGTACCTAGGTAGGTACCTTGTTTTCGGAAAGGACAGCTACCAAGAGCATACCAGCCGTCCTCAATGTCGTGCAGCTCACGGGTTGCCCAGTGTGGATTTAAATAGAACTTCATTTCCTTGGCAGCTGTGCGTACCGGAGAGACTCGCCAAGGTCGCAAAACGCCAAGTATTCCTGTTTGACCGAACGCCAAGCATCCAAGGTAGTAAAGTCCTCTCTCTGTTTGTAATGCTTCTACAAGCCGCCCATTGTGCGAAAACACATATGTAGGTACGTAGTAATAGGCGATATCGATATACCGCAGGACTATATACCTCAGACTCAACTTCCCATGTCCACAACACCCTCTCGGCTAACTCTACCTACCTATCCAGCGCTTGAGCCTGACACTGTATCATGTCAGCATCTCATATATGCCACACAAGAGTCGCATAGTTGTCAAGAGCGGGCATGCAAGGACCACCTACCATCTGGTAATAGATTCCCCGCATCCTCAACAGTGCCGCATGCTTTCCTTTTTCCAACACGCGGCCATCTCCAAGAACAAAAATGATATCAGCGTTCTGGATAGTAGCAAGACGGTGAGCTACCATGATCATTGTTCTGTTCTTCCTGGTCCTTTCCAAGACGGCCTGTACTGCCCTTTCTGTATCGCCGTCCAGATTGGATGTGGCTTCGTCCAAGAGTAGCAAGCGAGGATTCCGTATCAAGGCCCTTGCAATTGCAAAGCGTTGTTTCTGCCCCCCAGACAGTGTCACTCCCCTGGATCCGATCTCGGTATTGTATCCGTCTGGGAGAGACATGATAAACTCGTGGATCTCGGCGTCACGACAAGCCTGTTGAATCTGCTCCTCTGTGGTACTATCAGGGTTTACTCCCAGTAGTATGTTCTCTTTAATTGTCCCATCGAAAAGATTCGGTTCTTGCGAGACAAGAGATATATCCCTGCGATAGTCTTCGAGGGACACGGTCGAGATGTCCGTTCCGTTGTACAGGATCTGGCCTGAATTTACGGCATAAAACCTGAACGTTTGTCAGCTGTCTGGATACCGTGCCCTGCTTGCGCTCCTCAATAGGTACCTTGACCACTGACCTTTCAAGAAGTGAGACCACTGTTGTTTTCCCGCAACCTAGTTGATGTCAGTTGTCGGCCTATACCTGACTAGGTACCTACCCGTTCTCATCAAATTTCCACGTACCAGAAGGCCCGACTATAGCAGCAAACATGTCTTTCTCAACCTTGGCTGGTGTTAGCAGTACTGCATCAATTTGACTGTAATGTGGCAGGACTAACCGTTATGTCAAGCCCATTAAGCACCGGTACATTCCGGGTTGGATACCTGAACCGTACTTCGCGGAACTCAACTCTAACACCACTGTCTTTGTCGCCCACGCTACCTCGGTCAAGTGGAGTGTGCGTTGTGTTTTCCTGGCCCTTGGCCCTCATCTCAAGGATCCTATCTGCCGCAACATTCGCTTTTGCAATATCTGTGGTGCGCTTAGTACATGTCAAATATCCTAACTCGTACTGCTAACCTACTAGGTCCATAGCTCAGCCATTGACCTGCTCCCAATCCACCCTGTCCCGCAGAGTCATCATCAGAAGATTGGCCCAATATGAAAGGCCTCATTGGAGACGCAGGGTAAGCGCAATGTAAGCATACCTGAAGGACAGCAATGTAAACGATCATGTACTGGAATGGCCAGTATTCGCCCTTGAGCATCAGAGATCCACCATACCTGTGAGGCATCGGGTCCCCAGTCAGCTTTGTTGATATTCGCGAAACCGTCGTCGGCGATCGGCCTTGATATGTAGGTGGGTGCTTGCGAACAAACTTACCAGAGAACAAAAGCCGTGCACAAAAGCGCGATGCTGTCGGCCACGGCAAATACCAAGGTAAACCAACTAGACGTTCCAAATGAATGCTGGACATGTTCTCGGAGGAGTGTTTCATATCGTTCTATGATGGTATCTTCTAGAGTCAGAGCCGAAACCGTTCTGAAGGCAGTGATGGACTCAGTTGCGAACTTGGCACTCTCTGCAAAAACCTCATTGTTCATTTTCTCAAATCGCGCTTCGTGTCGAATGCGAAGAAAAGAAGCTGCCACGATGAGTGGCATCGAGGAGCATAGCGTGACGATGGTCAGTTTCCATCCATAGTAGAAGGATATAATCAAGCAGCCAGCGACGTTGAGAATGGAAATGAGCACGAAAGCTATATTGGTGCCCAGTATTTCTTGAAGTTGGCTTGGATCAGTCGCCAGACGAGCTGTAAGTGTACCAACCGAGTGGTCGTCGGTGTCGAAGAAGCCAATAGACTGGGATATGATGTTGTCGAAGTACTCGCAACGATATCGGTGTGTGATGTGCTCGTTCCTCGTGTTAGCATAGTTCCGTCCTCATTTGATGTGAAGAAAGGGAGTAGACTCAAGAAGCGTACAAACGCAATTGTCGAAGACGACCATCCTAATACAAAGTAAGAGATCGCAACTAAGATAGCAAGCATGACAAACATTAGACTCCAGAAGCTGGAAAGGTTTGGGAGCCATGGACCCCAGGATTGGAACAGTGTGAGCTCTGTTGCAAAGAGGTAGGCGGAAATTGGCTGACTTGCTGTGAGGCCCGAAGAAGATTGTCAGATAAGTCTACTCTCTCATTGTTTCTGTACGATCGACACGGTTACATACCTCCGCCGCCGATTGCACTCCCAACCAAGACAGCATACCACTTCCAGTGCTCTTTCTGCTCGCAGATGAGGAGCATGTATTTTCTCAGGCGGCTTGTCGTAATGAGCTCATCATCAACACTGGCGTCTGTTGTTATTACCGGACTCTCTGAATTGACTGTTGGTGTGTTGACTTCCGTATCCTCCACCTTACTACCAAGGCCGCTCGGTAGCTCTTTGGGATCGGTTGAATCTACCACAAGCTTCTGTGAGGTAGCAAGTGCCCAGTATGCTCCTCCCTCCTCGGCTAAGAGGTCCGAGTGCGTGCCTTGCTGAATAGCCTGGCCTTTCTGCAGAACTATGATGTTGTCAGCCTTCTTGACGGTTCCAAGCCGGTGTGCAATCATTATAGTTGTGCGATCCTTCGACACTTTTTCCAAGGCTGCCTGTACCACCTGTTCCCCGCGAACGTCAATAGAAGAGGTCGCCTCGTCCAGAATGAGAATTTTCGGGCGCTTTACAATGCTTCGAGCGATTGCTATTCGTTGACGTTGGCCACCACTCAGTTTGATGCCTGCATCGCCGACAATGGTTGAGTAACCCTGTATTCAGCTGTCAGCAATCAACCTACACACCAGGAGTCTTTCTTTCCTGGATTACTTCGAGCTTGGAACTTTACCTCTGGTAACCGGTTGATGAACTCGTCGACAAAGGCCTCCCTGCAAGCCTGTTTTACAAGCTCTTCCTTGGTCTCCACATTGGCATTTTCCCATTCAGTGCCTATCAGACCAAACTCAACATTTTGATAAATGCTACAGTTGAACAGAAACGGTTCCTGCTGCACGAGGCCGATTTGAGTCCGCCACCACTTGAGATCGATCTCTCTCAGGGGCCGACCCCCGACTTCGACAAGGCCGTTACGCCATAACAAACTCTTCGTTTTTGCCTGCTTGTTAGCAAATGATTCGGTTTCCATTCTCAAGTCAAGAGCGACGTATTATGAGGCCACCTACCATATCATTGCTCTCGAGAGACTCGATTTCATACCATCGCATCAGAAGCCCAACAATTGTGGTTTTGCCAGATCCGGAAGGTCCAACAACTGCGGTGGTTTTCCCCATAGGGAAGCGGATACTGAGGTTATTCAGGATCACCAGGTCTGGTCTGGTGGGGTATGCGAAGTTCACGTCTTGAAGTACAATATCTTGGGATGCAGAAACGTCTGGCTCCTTAAGACCTGTTTTGTCGGGTCTTGTTGCGTCAATGATAGTATAGAAAACAGTGGCCGCGCCAGCTGCCCGAGTAGCTGCGGATAAGGGCGAGGTAATTCCACTTATAGAGGTGGTCATAAGCACGATAGACATCAGGACACTTGATGCCAGACCAATCAGTCACTTTGTCCAGTATTTGGCAGTGAACATGGCGGGGAGTATCGTAGTTACGCACACAACCAAGGTCTCTGCGCTGTTGAAGCGAAGCTCGTAGTACATTCTAATCGAGTACCAAAATGAAAGGGCGAAAGTCCTGGAAAGTGTTAGCAGTGACTCAGGTTTTTTGTTATGACAACAAGGGCGGCAAGTAACTCACGCGTATATCGAAAACTGTACTGTTGGAGAGACGTCAGAAGATTCAAGAGGAGCCGCTCGACGGTACATATGTGGAGGGTCAGCCTAAAAAAAAGAATGAAAACGGGCACTTACCTGGCGCTTGCTGCAGCGCGATGATGGGAGACATTTTCAACCCCCGATGACGAGAATCGTCCACCCATTTGACATACCTTTTAGCCATCTTCTCCTGTGCACCACAGGCTGCAATCATTCTTATGGAGCTGAATACCTCTTTTGCAACTATAGATGCCTGGAGATCAGCATATTGTACGCCATTCATGTGCTTGACGAGAAAAGGGGTAGTTGCAGCATAGACCACTATGATCAACACAAGACCACTGCTCGTGACCAAGGTCAAGCTCCAACTGTATGTGATGGCAATCACAAATGCAGCTGTTACAGTTGATATGGATTGAAACAAGGCTGAAAGTTTCTCGGAGATGCCCGCTTGAAGTACACTAGCTGTTATAGTGATGATGGCGGCAGTTTGGCCGGGGGGGAGGACGTCTAGCGTGGAGATTGGCTGCCCGAATAAACACTTCAAGTATTCCAGTCGGATAGCAGCTGAGATTCGCAAGCTCGACATACGAAAGCCCACCTAGACATTCGACATAACCTGTAAACGATGCGTGTGCTGCGCGAGAAGAAGGGGAACAAACGGTGAGGCACTTACGTAGGCAACATAATCAAGTACAAGCCTAATGAAAAAAAGGCCAACAAGGTACAGGCTGTGAAAACATTAGTCAAAATCATGTTGACTCGCTGCTGCCCGAGAGTTGGAACGAGACTTACGCGCAGCTACTTATGGCGTTTTTGAAGAGCTCATATGTTGTTGAAGCATCGGCACCGTAGTATCCCGTGAAGGATCCCACCATTCTGCCTATCTATAAGTTAATTCGCAGGCATCACTACCTGCGTATTGACTATGAGCCAAAAAGTAAGTGAGACATACCAAAAATCATGTTCATGAGGGGCATAGTAATGCCCGCGCCTATAGAGGTCGCAACAGCTGCGCTGACAAGTACCCTGTCGAGCCAAGTCGAAAAGGAGAATATGCGCTGGCTAAAGTATCAGAAACTGAGTCTTCAAGCAGCTACGAAACAAGATACACACAATAAAGTCTGAGAGAGCTGTTTTGCATTCGGGCTTCAGCAGGAGGGGATTCATTCCCGCTTTGCTCGCTGGAGATGGTGGATTCGGAGGCGAAACTAGCGACTCGGGGATGGGGTGTTCGCCGCCAGACGCAAACTCTTCCTCGGCCATCTCTTTGACTCTTGAATTCCTGAGGTGTCCTAAGGATTGACGCAATTAGTGTAGGTGCTCTCGTAGAAGTGGTTACAGAACCAAAAGGGTATATTGACGCGCATATCTCCGCGCTCAATACATGCGCGCAGTTCCCTTAAAAGCATGGAGATGAAAAGTGAATGTGAGGCAAAGAGCGAGGGGATAGAGCCTGTCTCAAGCCATATTTACCGTTGAACGCGATTGCAATCCAACCATTGTGCAGCGACATTTCGAAAGAAGTGCGCCCGAAAGAGATTGCGAACGGTCAGCATGGGTCGCAGGCGACCTTTGACAGGCGCGGTAAACAATATACATCGAACAAAGCGTGGGGCTACCATAAATCCGGTGTTCGTACTTCAACAGCCTGCTACGACGTTAATATGGAACTTCGCAATACAATATACGGGTATTATATTTCGTGCTTGGTACTCGAATAGGGATCTGAACCAAGACACGAATGGTATCCGCGCTTATTGACAAGTGGTATGATGTGATTTGCGGCCAAGTTCTCTATTTCTCGACGGCAACGGAGAAGAGAATCAACCTGGCTGAAGTACATATTGCGAGCCCCAGCCAGGCTATGGAGTGGTAAACGGAAATGGGCACACCCAGAGTCCCGAGAGGATCCAAAACCTCGTTGAAAATGGATCCAGATCCCGACCCTCTATAGTTGGCGGGTATCTATAAGGTCTCATGCGCGGGATACGAAGAAAGATTAGGAAAGGAAAAAAAAAAAAAAAGAAAGAAAGAAAGAGCGGGCAGGGAATGGAGGTACTTTGATACCTAGCTTGCAACATATCTGGGTACCCCGGAGAGTTGCATCGGTCTCGGATGATGGACCGGCAACGCTACAGTCGAGCTGTGGCGATGTCGCGACAGCATGAGTAAAACAGTGACTGGTTCAAACTTCGATGGGACAGTCGCTTCCACGGCGACGGGTACCTTAGTCTTGCCGTATCATTTTCCCGTCTCTTAGCATCTTGGCTGATATTCAAGCAAGCATGTGCCGCAGACTGCTCTCCGTAGGGCAATTTAGCCTCAATTGGCCTATAGAATTGCGATTCCATTCCTTTGTCCATCGATAGATGAGGTGGCCAGGGTAGCAGGGGCCCTAGGCCCTTTCGTCCGGTTGTATACTGGCACAGGAAGGTTATCTCGAAAGGGAACTTTCAGTCTCTGTTCCCACTCCGATACTGTTTAGATTCTTATCTCGCTTTTTCTCCATTTGATTTCACTGCTTGGTGCAGTCATTGGTCTTTGAACCCCTACCGCCTACCTCCTGGTTGGTCGCCAACATAGTCAGCCGTTGGATTTCTTGCACAGTCATAGCTGTGACCATGTAGTGCCGAGACGATCCAAATAATCGATCAAGCTGTATTCTCCCTTGTCATGTAACTGCAAAGTGGGCGTCCCAATGCCGTCGTCAAGTCATGGTCCGGTCCTTTGCATTCAAAGTACCTTGGGGAACACGGACAGCTCCCGAAACTGTGCCGCGACCGAGAGCCACTCCCGGTATGCTGCTACATGATGCCTCGCTTCGCCAGGCTTGGCTGGTTGCCCAATCCTTTATGGTACCTGATATTGATCCATGTTGGCCATTCACTTGGTTCGCTTGAGGCTTCGGTTAAGGTGTCTTTGTATTACCAATTCGACATTTATCCGTTTACTGTTTCTGCGCAAACGGCTGTCCTTTAACAGACGCTACTCAGGCATGGATTCCATAGAGGCAGGCAACCTCCCGTACCACATTAGCCAGTTCCTTTACAGTTTCCTTGTCCCGCGGTAGCGTGTGGCCCTTGGCGTGATCGAAGAGATAGGCAGTAGCGGGATCGCACACATTGTAAAGGGCCAAAGATCCATGGACATAAGGGTCCAAGGAGCCGACTAGAGTGCAGACGCTGTCAGCCACGTATTTATGGATGGCATTCTGGTAGGCACTTTTACTCACTAATATGACATGTAGGGATTTCAATCACGACGTCGGATTCGTCGCTCAGAATCATGTGGTGGGTGTCAGGGTCGACGGGGGGCCAGCCAGCGAAAAAGATGGCGTACTTGAACATGGGCTTGATGCCCTTCTTCTTGAAGCGCCTCTGCTCGTGAAGCAGAAGCGTGGCAGCAACAGTGGCGCCTTCCGAATAGCCAATGATGGCATCAAATGGGCCGCGCTCATCCATGATTTTAATCAGATGTTTGAGTGCATTGTCGGTACTGCGATGTGAGGTGGCGACGCCCTCGCTCATCAGCTCTCGCATGGTGTCCTCGGGACTCTCACAGTGGGGAAAGTCCCTGATTCTGGCCAGGACGTCGTCTTGGGTCTTTTCCACATCCCGGTCGGGCTCGATAAAGCGGTAATAGGGCGGCTTTCCAAAGTACGCCTCGAAGCCCTCGGGCGGCACGGCTTTGCAGGGGCCGTGGATGAAGTGGAAGGTAGCCGTTCCATCTTCAGTCAACTCCTTGACGATAGGTGCTAGGTTGAGGTGTTGTTAGACTGGATATCTTGTATAGAAGGCTTCTCTCTATTTGACGCCCTTCTTACCTAGCTGAACCTGGAACTTCTGACATGGATTATGTCCGGTCAGCAAGGCGGTCCATCAAAGAAAGCGTGCCTTGTACTTACATCGGAGCTGCCATAGGCTCCCGGAAGACAGAGAAACCGCATTGCGACAAGTAGGTGGCTTTCTTCTCGTCGCAATGAGCATAGAGATCGATCACGCAGATCAAAAGACTATAAAAGGCCCTGGGATGGAGAGGGGGGAGGCGTCAAGGTGAGGGGGCATCAGATGGACCACACTACCTGGGTCTCGGTCTGGACCAAGACGTGTACATATGATAGGAACCAGGACATATGACATATATCTACGTGGTCAGAGTATGTCCCGTCCTCATGTATGATCTCATGGGCATCCCCAGCTAGGCGCCATAGTAGAGGAAGTATGATAGATGGCCGTTGTGGTTGAGCACCCAGGAAATATCCGGCAGCAAGTTCCGATGGCCTTGACCTTTTGACCGACTAGGGTTCCAGATTCTAGAGCCGGCGGGGACATGAAAGCCGCATCGCCGCGATGTGGGTGGACGGCTGGAAGGATGTTGTGATATGCCGTGGTTAATCAGGATGATATTATCGGGCATCGGGTGAAAAATTGCCCTTAGGTTGGGGGTTGCCTTGAGAGATTGATTGAGCTTGATGAAACTTCATTAGGGGGGCGGGGGGAAAGCTTTTTGGCGAGAGCTGCAGATAGATGATTGTTTAACAGAAGGTGATGAGGTCTTGTTGGTTGGATGGATAGAAACCGTGTTAGTGATAACTTAAATTGGTTTGGTTGATTATTGCTCAGAGCCGGGGGGGTTGTTTGGGAATGGGGGAGAGCTGTACCTACACCTAGCGGGTCAGTACCGGGATAAGATCGATTAGAGGTATCGACTACCTTGACTCGAGCCTGACTCTTAGCATTTATGCGCGGCAAGTGCCGTGTCTGCTTTTCGTTTCAGGTACCGTGAACCCAATCAATGCCGTGACAAGTACCTACCATCGACCGATCAAGCCACCAATCACAGGGCGCGGTTAAACATTACTATCGATAAGAGGCTTCATCAACCCGACGACATCGATGCCTTCCGCTTCCACTCAGTCATCCTGCCCGGGCAAAGACAACTAACCAACTATCTTCACTCACTCGTCACTTCCGTGTCTGTCAACATCCAGCACCCGGACATCGACCATGGCTTGTTCCTTCCCATAGAGGCTGTGAACACCACCTCACCTTCCATTCGTCCTTTAAGCCGCGCCTGGTAAGTAATGTGACTTGACCAGGTCTACTAAGTGTACTTCGTTACTGTACTACAGTCCGCATATTGCCTTCCTCGGGCGCAGGAAATCGAGAGGGAGGGGAAAAAAAAAGAAAAAAAAGAGAAAAAAAAAGTCGCATTGATATCATGGATTGCTGTGGCATCATATGCCAAGTTGCTGCCGCCCTCCAAGATGCCATGTTACTCCCACCCCACCGTCCCTCCGCTGCCTACCCTGCCGGCCTCATCGATCCAACCTCTCGCCAGACAAATCACCTTGACTACCTTGCCTGTGATGATCTGTCATTCCACACACTCTCACACGGACGACACACTGCGAGATTAGCCGCCACACACGGGCCTGGGATGGTCATCTTGCCGGCGCTGGAGTCTGGACGATGTGGGATGGAGATGCAAATGCACTTTGACTTTGATCAAGTGAACCGCAAGCTGGATCGGCTTTCGTCTCCCTGGCACCCAGCCTGGTCTGTTCAAAGCTCCCTTCGCCCATGGCCGTCCTATCGCAGCTCCCCCCGCAGCAGCCTGCTTCTCCGGAGACTTCAGGTTTGGGACTCGGTCGACAGCCTCCGTTCTTCTCCCCAGGAGGGTCACCGGGGAATTAGTCTAGTCTCGCATATTGACTTCCTGCCAAATCGGGCCTGTGGTCCATAACCAACTTCGCACCACCCGCGTCCTTGCCATCCACGTTCATCCTGTATGCTGCAGTCTCTCCAGCTGCCGTCAGATAAGAGTCCAATTCATCCGCTCTGTTGTCTTGCTCACTTGTGGCCATCGTATTGCCCTCCTGCAAGCACATCTCAACAGACAAGCTTCTGCCCTCCTCAGACAACCGAAAGTCCTGACAAAGAAACAAGCCAACCCGACTTCCTTGACCTCCAATGGCGCCCATTGCTGTGACGCCGGATAGCTCAACCGCCAGTCCTTCTGGCGACAGCTGGAACAGTTACTTTCACGTGCGTAACGGTGACAGCCATAACATCATCAGCAACAACGGCCATGATCATGGCGAATACGCCCTCTCGGCAGCCGTAGGGAATGACCATGGCAGCTGGACTGCCGAACCTGGGATCGGCTTGAGTTCCCCTCTCCCTCCCCCCGGCCATGTTCACGATATGCCCATAGCCATTGTTGGGATGGCCTGTCGGATGCCTGGCAATGTCTCTACTCCGGCCGAATTCTGGGAGCTCTGCACTAGGGCCCGGTCTGGCTGGTCCGAAACTCCTAAGCAGAGATTCAACAGTGCCCGCTTCCATCATCCCAACCAGGGCAAAGGCGGCACTCTGAATCCCGTCGGCGGCAACTTCTTGAATGTTGACCCGGCTGCCTTTGATGCTCCATTCTTTGGTTTGACTGAAAAGGAGGCCATTTCCATGGATCCCCAGCAGCGTCTTCTTCTCGAATGCACCTTTGAAGCCCTCGAAAATGCTGGCATACCAAAGCATACCATTGCCGGAAAGGACGTTGGCGTTTTTGTCGGCGGTTCCTTTCCCGAGTACGAATCTCATCTCTTCAGAGACCCAGATACCATACCTATGCACCAGGCAACCGGTAAGTCTCTTTAGTTCCCTCCATCGAAACTACACCTGGTAGTGACGTCAACGACCTTGCAAGGCTGACACTCTGCTTTGTACATTGGCTTGAAAAGGTTGTGCATATGCCATGCAGTCCAACCGCATATCGCACTTCTTCGACCTACGAGGCCCCAGTTTCACGGCCGATACAGCATGCTCCTCTAGCATGGTAGCCATACACCTGGCTTGCCAGAGCTTGCGAACCGGTGAATCTAGCGCCGCTTTGGTCGGCGGCTGTCACCTCAACATGCTTCCCGAGTTCTGGATCTCCTTTTCGACTTGCAGGTGAGTCTAATACAACCAGCAAGGCGTCCCCTGCTATCGTAGTGTCGCCTTATCGGTTGCATCTGATCGTTCCAATGTTCTGACCATCACGGTCACAGACTGCTCTCGGATGCCGGCCGTTCATTTTCTTTTGACAATCGAGGCACGGGGTTTGGCCGTGGAGAGGGCTGTGGCATGATTGTCCTGAAGCCACTGGACCAAGCCATAAAGGACAAGGATCCCATCAGGGCAGTCATTGCCGCAACTGGTCTCAACCAAGATGGCAAGACGCCCGGCATCACTGTGCCACATGGGCCAGCGCAAGGTCAGTCAGCACCCAGAGCCACGATAATTGATCTGACTTGGATGAGAAACTGACCCCCCATTATCAATCTGAAGAGGACCTCATACGCAAAGTATATGGCAGGGCTGGCCTCGACCCGAATTTGTGCGGCTTCGTCGAGGCCCATGGAACTGGCACTAGGGTTGGTGATCCCATCGAAGCCACTGCCATTCACAATGTTTTGGGTCAAGAAAGAAGCCCACGCAACCCTCTATGGATCGGCTCTGTGAAATCCAACATTGGCCATCTGGAAGGGGCCTCCGGTATGTCATTACTACGCTACCCTTAAACATTAGCTGCCGTATTCAATACTAATTTGTTCCTGCTTCTCCGTCTCCAGGTATTGCCGGTGTCATTAAAGCAGCCCTTATGCTTGAGCGTGGCTTCATCCTTCCAAACCATGATTTCAAGCAGCCAAACCCGAGGATCCCCTGGAAAGAATGGAATTTAGAGATCCCGGTGACCCAAAGGCCGTGGCCGCGCGGCAAAAAGTACATCAGTGTCAATAATTTTGGTTTTGGTGGCACAAATGGCCATGTTGTACTGACAGCCGCACCATTCCTGCGTTCCAGAACTTCGGGGTCCTCCCATGATGACACCCTCATGGCTTCGGATAAGTCAGGGCTGGGCCGCAAGCTTTACGTCGCCACGGCTCATGACAAGGCCGGCCTTTCGCAACAGATGAAGAATATCGTGGTCTACCTTGAGCAGAGGCCCGAGATCTTCCAAGTAGATCTAACCAGCAACCTGGCTTACACGCTTGGGCAGCGGCGGTCCCTCCTGCAATGGAGAGCTGCCATTCCCGCTATCAACTCATTTGAGTTAATCGAAGCTATCAATGGAGAAAAGGCGATAACCGGTAAAGAAACCGAGCCTCTTAGACTTGGTTTTATTTTTACCGGTCAGGGTGCTCAATGGTATGCCATGGGTCGGGAATTGTACGAGCAATATCCAACGTTCAGTGCGAGTATTTTGCAGGCCGATGCCTGTTTAATCGCTCTTGGAGCGGAATGGTCACTTCTTGGTAAGCATGGGTCGCCAACACAAGGTCCCAAAAAGACATATGGCAGGATATCACTAACACAATCAATACTCTGGCAGAGGAACTCGGAAAAGATGCCAAAACCAGCAGGATCAGTGAGGCACACATTAGCCAACCATCATGTACTTCGGTACAACTAGCACTTGTTAACTTGCTACGAGGCTGGGGCCTGCGGCCAACTGCTGTTGCAGGCCACTCGAGTGGTGAGATCGCTGCTGCATATGCTGCGGGCATCATTGACTTTGAATCTGCCATGGCAATTGCCTATCATCGAGGTAGACTGATTCCTATCCTCAAAACGAAGTACCCTGAGCTTCAGGGTCGCATGATGGCGGTTGGAGGAAGTAAGAAGGAATTCACAACCCTTATCGAAGGACTACAAGCGAAGGAAGTCCGGATTGCTTGCTACAACAGTCCTTCCAGTCTAACTATTTCCGGCGATGAACCTGCCTTGGCCGAATTGGAGAGGATTTGCGAGAAGAGGCAGCTGTTCAACAGGCGTCTGGTCGTCGATGTCGCTTACCATTCCCACCACATGAACTTGGTCGCCAAGGATTACCGTGCTTCCATCGCCAACCTTCAGCCGCCAGCTCGAACTGACGTGCAGTTTCACTCTTCTCTGTATGGCCATCCTGTTGACAGTACCAATTTGCAGCCTAACTACTGGGTTGACAACTTGACTTGTCCTGTACGTTTCAGTGAGGCGTTGCAGAGCATGCTTGCGCCGGTCGGCGAGCATAAGCACGGGGTCAACATGCTTGTCGAGCTCGGCCCCCATTCCGGGCTTCAAGGACCTATCAAGCAGGTACTCAAAGAGGTCGGTGGAAGTGCACCAAAAATTCCATATGCTTCTGTTCTTGTTAGAAAACGAAACGCCGTCGAGACCGCTCTGGAACTTGCTGCACAGTTGTTCACCAGAGGGGCAAACCTTGATTTTGGTGCCGTCAATTTCCCAAAGACAACCAAACCACCAACGCTGCTGACAGATTTACCACAGTATCCCTGGAACCATTCAACCAGGTATTGGCAAGAATCTCGTATGACAGATATGCATAAGAACGCGGTTGGTTCAAGGAGCGACATTATCGGTACCTTGGCCAGCTACTCGAGCGATTTAGAGCCCACATGGCGCAACATCGTTCGCCTGGACGACCTACCCTGGCTGCGCCATCACAAAATTCAATCCTTGATCATATATCCCATATCCGCATTTCTTGCGATGGCTATGGAGGCCGCCTTCCAGAGGGCGAAAAGCAGACACTGCTCATTCGATAGGTTTCAGATGAGAGATATTGCCATAAAAAAGCCCCTAGCGATACCAGACAACGACATCGAGGTTACAATCAGTCTCCGTCCGCACCAGGAGGGTATCTTTGTTTCATCCGAGACGTGGGATGAGTTCAGGGTTTGCTCATGGTCTTCTGGCCAAGGTTGGACAGAACATTGCGTCGGTTTGATCGCGACGGTGAAAATCACAGACAATGATGTGGTACAGGGCCCACAGACTGATGATGGCTTTGAAGACCACCTACATTCTGTCGCCCCCACCATCGACAACGCACAATGGGCCTCGATCGATCCCCAGCATATGTACGAGACCCTCAACAAGCTTGGGGTTGTGTACGGGCCTACCTTTCAAGGTCTCGACAATATCAACGTGTGCGATACACAGTCAACAGGAGATCTTGTTGCTCCGGATGTCGCCAAAGAAATGCCGGGTGGGTACCTGACCGAAGCCGTGATACAGCCCGCATTTCTCGAGTCGCTCATTGGCATGTACTGGCCGGTACTTGGGGCCGGAAGCCGGCAAGTTGACACAATTTACCTACCGTCCGCGATTGAGTACGTGACCATATCTCGAAGGATAACCCAGCTGGCAAACGAGCCAGGAAATACGCTGCGCGCCATTTGCAAGGGCGAGGTCTATCCTGGCATTCATCGGCCGTTCAAGGTTCACATGGTTGCAGCCCCCGCGGGTTCTCTGGAGAACATAATCGCAATCGATGGCTTGACAGTCTCTCCTGTGCTGAACGATGATACTCGAGAGAAAAACAACACTCCCCGTGACCTCTGCTACAAACTTGAATGGGAACACATTTTGGAGCCTGAACA